TGGTTGGGAGTGGAGGTGTGCTGTACATGTGTTTCATCCATGTACCTGCCCAGTGAGTCTGGTGCAAGTACCATGAAGAGCTGTGGCCAAGCATAAGGAATTCACTGAAACTTTGGAACTGCTAACCTGCCAAGGGTGTTCCCCAAATGGAACTGTTCAGGAGACTGTGGCTATGAGCCAATCATTCTGCTAGGGTGTATTTTCACATGTTGGTGAAGGTGTAGTTTTGACAGTTGTTGATTATCAATAATTACTGACAAATGTATTGGCTTATTCTGTTTGCTAAAATGATCTGTCAGCTGTGTGTGGCTCTGGGGTGGGCTGGGCTGGTGGTGCTTGGGAAGGGCTTTGCCTCATGGCAGTGCGAGCAGAGGTGCACCTGGGGCTGTACAGAGGCACAAGCTGACCAAAGGAGTATTCTGGTTCTCTGCTGAAGGAGTGCCTGGGGTAAGGGGAAGTTCGTGATCAGCGTGACGTTCGTTGTTCTTCAGCAGAAGTAACTGACTCTGAACTTCTGAATTAGACTTTCCCCAGGAGTCATAAACATTTATGGAATCTGTAGCATAATTGTGTCTCACACTGACTGCAGTGGGGGCAGTTGGGGGGTGAATCCTGAATCCAGGCGCTCTGGAGAGCGTGCCAGGTACAGCTTGCAGTCCTGGTGAGAGGAATTGCATTTGGCTTGTGTGGCAGGGTCCCAGCTGGGGAGAGGGTCCCACCTGGGGCTGCAAATGTGCTTATCTTGTGGCTTTACCTGCTTTGGGGACCCTGTGCCAGCCTTTTTGCCAACTGACAAGGACACAAGCAAATTGCATTTAAGAGAGCAGCCAAATGCTGGTGACAGCTCTCATCTCCAAGGGCAATAAGCAACTGAAAGGCCCAGTTTTAGGCGGGTGACACCGTGCAGAGGCGGTTAATAGGCTCAGGAGGGCGATGGGCACTTAGGGAGCCACATGCAGAGAAAATCCCTTCAGTGGCATTTTGTCTCATGCCTTGGAACGTGAAGCCTTTGTCATTGATATACAAACCCGTGCAAGGAGAGCTGAGCTGGGGGGAGCACAGGTGGGCGACGATCACTTTGTGCCAAGTACCTGCAGATACAGCCAGAGTCACATTAACAGTCTGCACACGGCCAGGTGTTTTCTGATAGTGATGCTCTGGATCCTCTGTGATGACTCCCAAGCTGAAAACTCGCATTTCAAGTCCTCCACTGGTGCTATTGCATCAGCAAATTTCCCAAGTGATTCAAGGCATTAAGAAAATGAGGGACCTTTTGAGTTTTTGGAATTCCTTTACTGCCAGGAGCGGGGCAGCTCAAAGTGCAGTCCTGGGTAGCAGGGAGGGACTCAGTGTTTGGTTTGGGAGGGGGAACGGGCAGCCTCAGAGCCTAGAATGAGTCCCTGCTGAGGAGGGGGGGTGTGCTGGCACATCCGTGGTGCTCCCTGCTGGGAGCACTGCAGAGTGAGTGAGTCAGCCCTGCGGAGAGCAGGGCTCTGCAGCAGCAGCAGCACAGGGACAGGGCCAGCAGCACTGGCAGCACAGACAATGCCTCCATAGAGCCTGCTGACCTTGCTCTTTGTTAACTCTTTCACTCTGGAGTTGGTTTTCTTTCATGCTTTTTCTTTTTTTTTTTTTCAAAGGCGGCAGATTTTTTTCTATTTATTTTTTCTCCACTGTGTTGGAGAAGCATTTTTAAGTAACAGGATTTTATCTCTGATTCCTCAGGGACTGGCTTTCCTAAGGAGATCTGGCTTACAGAGAACTACAGTAATCTGGAAAAGTAAATAAGCTTTGGGGAAATAAAAACCTCGTTATGAGAAACTGATCCCAGAAACCAAATTGCTCTTTCAGGGTAACAGCAGAGCTCATGACTACACTCTCAGTAACCCTTGTTTTCTTCCCAGGCTGACCATGGGGATACTGATTTTAGTGCATTTTACTGTTTCCATCCAGCCTTACTATCCAAACCATTGCTGTCCTCAGGTGAGACATATTTGTCTCTGACATGCAGGACTTGCCACCTCTGCCCTTAGTTCTACAGCTATTGACCAGCTTTTTCTCCTGGCGTAATTAAGTCAAACCCAGAGTAAGTTTTCCCAAAGACACATATCCTGGAGTGGGAATTTTCTGTTTCAGGGTCAGAGGATTGTGTCACTGTGTCCCAAAAAGCTTCTCCATTTTTGTTCCTGTTACAGCTAATGAATGCTGTTCCTTTCTCTACAAGCCACGCTTCACTGAGCTCTTGAGAGCCTCAGCTTTGCAGCTGAGATCACTGGGTTTCTGCTGAGCTGGTTCCTGTGTCACAACACCAAAGCACATGGAAAAATCCTGCCCTAACCTTACAGTGTGGAAGGGCCGAGGCTTTCCAAGGGGCCACACTGCACCCACAAGGCACCTACAGCCCGCTGACAGTTCCCACTGACCTGAGAGAACAGGATGGGGCTCCTGGAGAACCCGTGGCTGTTTTTCTTTTGCTGAGGGGATGAGCTGCCCTCACCAAAGGTCAAGTCTGGCCCTTCTGAATTCACCAAGGGGATACTGGGGGCTGTTGCAGTCTCAGAGCTTTTTTTGGCACTTGGAACTGTGTTGTCCATGCTGTTGCACTTGTGCTTTCCTCCTTTCCCTTTAGGAGAGGGGAAAGGGGTGGCTTAAGTGGCAGAGAGTGAATTCAGCCACCTACACCTCATGGCTTTGCCTGCATGAGGTAAGCTGAGGACAAATCTTGGGAAATGGTATATATTCCCAAGACTGACAGTGTGTTCTAAGCAGCCTCTCCCCAGCTCTCATGTGCCTTGGGACAATTTCTTAGACCTCCTTGCCTGTGAAAATCAGAAGCCAAGGCTGCATTTCACCAGCCCTCAGTGCTCCCTCTGGACACCCAGTCCTGCTTCTCAGCTGCTCCACATGCTCCCCTGCTCCTCCCAAGAGCACAGGTACAACTGCTCCTGCTGCCAGGCAGTGAACCTAATTTGGGAATTGAGCCAGGTTAAAAATAACTCAACCTGAAAAAAAACACCCCACACATCTGCCAAAGAAAATGCAAGTGAAACTACAGCCTGTGATTCCCTCAGCCTGTTACTGGGGCAGTGGAGACAAAGAGCATGGAATTATTATTAGAGGAATGTGCAGTATTGGCGATGCAAGACAGGGTTAATTTAACGCTGAGAAATAAAAGGAGAGCATCCAAAGGGGTAAGCGTTAAGCAGGACAGGTACATGACATAGGCTGGGCTGGGTGACGTACCTGTAGCCTCGATGAGCAGATTTCCATCCCTTCCCTTCTGGCACAGGCTGTTCTGTTCTCCCAGCAGTGCAGAGGGAGGGCTGGGCCAGTTTCCAGCGCTCTGATTCAGGGGTTGGCTTGGTGCTGGCAGCCTGGAGGAGTGTTGGATCTGTGGCTGCAGGAGCTGTGTCCCTGGGGTGGGCCCAGGGCGGGCGTCCCTGTCTGTGCATTCAGTATTTGCCTTTACCTCTGTGTCTCCTCCACTGCCAAATAAAGTTACTGTCACAGCTCTGTGTGTTCCTGTGGAAGGGCCTTGTTTTGGCCACAGGCAGTTTGGGTGCCATATGTGCCTTTTGACGTCCAAATTCAATTTAGCAGCTTGGACAGGTCCTTCCTTCCTCTCAGACAAATGAGCCTGAGAGCTGCTTCCAGCATTTATTTTCCAAACTTTAGAGTTTTGGAGTCTCCTCAGCTCCACATGTATGAAGCTACAAATCATTCCCAGCAATATAGTGCTGGGTGTCCCAGATGTGCATAATTTCATGAGGAAAACATTAAAAGCTCATCTCGTTCCACCCCCTGCCATGGACAGGGACACCTTCCACTAGCCCAGGTTGCTCCAAGCCCTGTCCAACCTGGCCTTGGACACTTCCAGGGATGGGGCAGCCACAGCTTCTCTGGACAACCTGTGCCAGAGCCTCACCACCCTCGCAGCCAGGAATTCCTTCCCAATATCCCATCTAACCCTGCCCTCGGGCAGTGGGAAGCCATTCCCCCCTGCCCTATCCCTCCATCCCTTGTCCCAAGTCCCTCTACAGCTCTCCTGGAGCCCCTTTGGGCCCTGGAAGGGGTTCTCAGGTCTCCCGGGAGCCTTCTCTTCTCCAGGCTGAACACCCCAAGCATCTCCATGGCCTGAGAGATGCCATTTTTAGCCTCAGATCCCCAAAACAATGCTGCGCATAGTTTTCCTGTCCTCATCCAGCATCATTCCCATCTCTCCCTTTCAGGGCCCTTTCCTGGCATCCTGTGACACAGTAAGAGCAGTCTGTAGTGTGGACAAGCACTGACATCATGGAACACTAAGCACAGCACAAAACCTAATTAAAATCCAATTCCTGGCCAGACGGCGATGTTATGTTCCTGCACAATTATATTCCCCATCATTTATCTTTCCTGGGAGTATTCACCTGTGGAGCCACATCAGCTGGGTGGAACCCCCTCTCCCCAGCTGCCCTCGGATACAAGGAGGGCAGAGGCCTGGGGTGTGCAGGGTGGGAGTCCCAGGATGGGGGTCCCAGGATAGGAGTCTCAGGATGGGGGTCCCAGAATTGGGGTCTCAGGATAGGGATGGCAGGATGGAGGTCTCAGGATGTGGGCTCCAGGATGGGGGGTCACAGAACTGGGGTCTCAGGATGGAGGTCTCAGGACAGGGGTCTCAAGACGGGGGTCTCAGGACGGATGTTTCAGGATGGATGTCTCAGGACGGGGGTCTCAGGACGGGTGTTTCAGGACGGATGTCTCAGGACGGGGGTCTCAGGACGGGTGTTTCAGGACGGATGTCTCAGGACGGGGGTCTCAGGACGGGGGTCCCCGACGCGGCACAACGAGGGGATCTCCCCGGCCCCCGCCGACCTCCTCAAGATGGCGGCGCCCTCCCCATGATGGCGGGGCCGATCACGTGTGGCGGGGCAGGCGGGGGATCCCGGCTCGTGCTGAGCGCGTCACGTGACCGGGGCCCGACCCGCCCAGGCCCCGCCCCCCGTGTCCCACAGCCCCGGGCCGGGGGCGCTGCTCCGGCCCCGGGACCCGCCGGGAGCCGCCGGGCTCGTCCCTCACAGCGCCGGCCCGGAGCGCCGGGCAGGGGCGGGGGGCTTACCCGCCGCCTGCCCCCGGGGCGGGGCTCCGCTGCCTCCGCCCCTCACCGACTCCCCGGTCCCACGGCAGCCGCTCGCACCGGGGCCGCGGCCTGGCCCCGCTCCGCCACGCCCGGTGCCCGCCCCGCGCGCCGGACACTGCCGGGGCCGCGGCTTCTCCCGGCTCCCGCTGCCCCGCGATGCCATCCAACAAATCAGTGTCGGATGCGCCCATCGTCCAGTTCACCAACTGCCGCATCCTGAGGGACCACTGGCTCCAGAGGTGAGCCCGGGGTACCGGCGGTGCCGGGGCGGCTGCGGGTATCAGGGGTGTCCGGGGGTACCGAGAGTATGGGGGTACCGGGGTGTCCGGGGGTACCAAGGATGTCCAGGGGTACCAGGGCTGCGAGAGCTCCCGGACGGGCTGCGGGGCTGACCTGGCACCTGCAGTGCCCGAGGGGCTGTCACCAGGTCCCCCGTCACCAAGTCCCCCAGCGCATCGGCTGTTGGCCCTCCCTCGCACCCTGCGCTCCCCCCAGCCCACGTCCTCTCCACCTGCTTTCCAAGGGGATGAGCCGTGTGTGGGGCACGGCCGCTCTCCACTCCCCTTTCTTTTTGCGTCCCCTGCCGTCCCCGTGGCCCTTTTGCCATCGCCACCACCTTTGAGGGGCAGCCCGTGGCAGTCCCATTCCCGTGAGTTTTGTAGAGCCAGAGGCCAGGCAGAGAGGGCTGCCCACCGTGTCCCGGCTGGAAGAGCAGCTGTGCCCTGGGAGACACTGGGAAGTGCCAGTGGGGTTCCCTCTGCCCAGGGCCACTGTCACTGGGGCCATGGCCACCTACTCCACGGACAGCACCAGAGTTCAGTGTGTGTGGTTGTTCCTTCAGGGAGGACCTGTGGGTGCGAGAGGGGAAGATCCTCAACCCGGAGAAACTCTTCTTTGATGAGAAGGGCTCTGCTGACGTGCAGCTGGACTGCAAGGGCAGCATCATCGCCCCAGGCTTCATCGACGTCCAGATCAATGGTATGGGGAAGCCACGTGTGCTCACGGGGGGGGTCCTGGGTCTGTCCATCTCTCCATCCCTGACCTCCAAGCCCCTCTGTGGGTGTCCTGCCCATGGCCTAGTGCATTTCAGGTGCTCGAGGGATGTGTGAGTCACCAAACTAAGGACAAAGAACGATTTTGCACATGGTTGCTGCTGTCACGTAACTGATCTGCTTTGGTTGAGTGAAGTTTCCTCTGAATGTCAATCAATTTTTTTTATCCTACCCCTTTACTGACAGTGTGCCCACCCTACTCTTTCCAGGATGTGGGAGGACAGAGCAAGACTTCCCAAGGGAACAAACATTACCTGCAAGAGCTCTCTCCCAAGGGAAAGAGGGGCTCATTCTAGGGCAGCTAAAGTTGGAAGTCAGATCCCTCTGGGCTGGGAATCCTCACATTTTGCCCTGCATGAAAATAGAAAAGCTGTGCTTGCAAAATGCTGAGGTACTGTGGGGAAGAGCACTTCATAGTGGGATTTGTACTTGTGGAGCCTTGGAATGTAGGACACAAATGCTGATGGAGCCCTTTGCATCAGTGCCCTACAAATGGAGTGTTTCCATCCAGTCACACAAAATGTTTCTTTAATGTTTCTGGGCGGGAAACATCCTCTGGGGAAGCTGCAGTTTCACCTCTGTTTTGTTGGTGGTGCAGGAGGCTTCGGGGTGGACTTCTCCCTGGCTACGGATGACTTCAAATCAGGGATTGACCTGGTCAGTCAGAAAATCCTCTCCCATGGAGTGACCTCCTTCTGTCCCACCCTGGTGACTTCTCCTCCATCTGTGTACCACCAGGTAAGGGGCTTTCTCCTCTCCCATCTGCAGGGTGATCAGGAGCTGAGGTTGGTACCAGGAGGTGGGAGGGCCAAGGCTGGGCCTCTCAAGTCTGGGACAGCTGCCGTGGTGGAAGAGCCATGGGCATGAGGAGCTGGACTCTCCCCTGGGTTTCTTGCAGGACTTGCAGAAGGCTTTTCCTTTGTGGGCTGTGATGGTCCCACATGGTCCAGCTACAAATCTCCCTCCAGACCCAACATTTGGGTCTGATTTGGCCAGCTGGGGGGCTGTGTCTGGGGTGCCATGTCTGACAAACCCTGTTCTCTAGGTTCTCCCTCAGATCAGCGTAAGAAATGGTGGAGGCCACGGAGCAGGTATCCTGGGTAAGTGGATTTGTCCCTCTTTGGTGCTACTGTAGATGGGCAATTATCTTGTTTGTTGTTGAGGGGAAAGAAGTTACTGCGGGACAGCACAAATGGGGGCTGGAGCTCTCTCTATGGGAGGGATGCACAGGTGGGCACAGAGCCACCTTGTCCCTCAGCCTGTGCCTGGCCTTTGCTGTGGTCCTGTCACTGTACACACAACACACACTGCTCCAGCCCTTTTGGGCCCTCTGGGGCAATGGCAGTGGGGTGGCTTGGCTTGACCAGGGGCCAGCACTGCAGCTCTCACTGTGCTGAGCTCAGAGTTACCTGAGCCAGGTGTTTTGCTGCAGAAAAATGGCAGGAGCTCAACTGGAGCAGAGTAGAAAGAGCAGGTTTCCTGGTCCTTGGCGGGGAGAGGAAGGGTTACAGCTCTTTGCTCCTGTTTGGACAGGGGCCCATCTGGAAGGGCCGTTCATCAGCAGGGAGAAGAAAGGGGCCCACCCGGAGCACTGCCTGCGCACCTTCGAGGCAGGTGCCTTCCAGGACCTGCTGAACACCTACGGCTCCCTGGACTGTGTCCGGATAGTCACCCTGGCCCCTGAGATGAAGAGGAGCAGTGAGGTGATCCGGGAGCTCACCAAGAGGGGTGTCTGCGTCTCTCTGGGTGAGGGCTGGGGGGGCTCTGGCAGCCCCTCTCTCGGGGCTGGGGGGGCTCTAACAGTGTCTTGGTGCCTGGACAGGGTGGGATTTTCTTTGATCTGGCCTGTATGGGGTGACAGAACTGTCACAAATGGGGACCTCGCTTGATGCAGTGAATGTCTCATGGCAAGGGCCAAACTTTGTATCGATTGCAGAGCCCTTCAGCAAACATAAGGTGCTGTTCGAACACAAGGAAGTCTTCCTTGGAGGGTTGATGATGTGGAAGGTTCAAACTCTGAAGTTCCACTGCTTAAGACCTTATTTGACAGGAGAAATCATTTTCCAAAGGTTACTGTTGGTTTGATAACTCTGTTTTTCAACTGGAAGTGCTGTAGTAGCCTCTCCCTCCAACATCTGGCTGGCCACTGACTTAACTCTGGCTGCATTTTTCTTTTCCTTTGCTTCACAAACTCCTCTTTGCTTCAGATCATTGAAGAAACCTTTTTTTTTTTTTAAGGGAGGGGAAGTTATTCAGGGTGCAATTAAACCTCAGGTGAGAAGGGCATTCATACAGCAGAGCATCTCTTATCTGACAGCCACATAAAGAACTCCAGAAAGGCAAGGTTTACCCACAGAGCACTGGAGCTACTGTCCTGTTGGGGAAACTATTTTCTTTCTGGATAGTTTTATCCCCATATTCTTTCCTGGCAAAATCCCTACTGTCTCTACTCCCCTGATACCTCTCTACTGAACCTTTAAGTATCTGAGGCTAGCAGAAAGGCATGTCCTTGGACCTCGAACCCAGCCTGAAGGCAACTCACTGTGAGCAAGGCAGCATTTGTGGCAGTTGTGATGTGAGCAGTGAAGGTGTTCAGGTGAAACACCCACCCCCACAGTCCTCCCAGGTCGTGGCCAGACACTTCCATGCCGAGGCTGAACCTCAGCCCAGGATGGGCATCAGAGCAGAGTCCAATGATGGAATGTCTTCACTCCTGTAGGGGAATGAATGGAGAGATGGGCAGAGGAGTCACACGCTGTGTCTGTTCCCAGGTCACTCGGTGGCCAATCTGTCCCAGGCCGAGGAGGCTGTGCAGCACGGCGCGACCTTCATCACGCACCTCTTCAACGCCATGCTGCCGGTGAGCTCCCGAGGGCGCCTGCCCTGCACCCGGCTTTCTTCTGGATTTTCTCTCCTGCTACCAGGGTTGCTTTTGGGTTTTCTCTCCCAAAGATCTGTGTTCTCCCGAGCTGGTTTCATACCAGGCTTTGCACTGAGGTTTGGGCACTGAACCTCTGGCTTCACATTTCTGCTGCTGGATCTTAAAGAGAGGCTGTAGCAGATTCTTAAAGTCACTGCCGAGAAGTACTTGGGGGTGTTGGTGGGTGAGAGGCTGGACATGCCTTGTCTGTGTGTGCTGGGATGCAGAAACCCTCCACGTCCTGCACTGATCCCACAGCGTGGGCAGCAGGGGAGGGGGGGATCCTGCCCCTCTGCCCCCTCAGGTGAGACCCCACCTGCAGAGCTGCCTCCAGATATGGAGCACCAACTTCAGAAGGACGTGGAGCTGCTGGAGAGAGTCCAGAGGCCACAGAGATACTCCAAGGCTGGAGCCCCTCTGCTCTGGAACCAGGCTGGGACAGCTGGGGGGGTCACCTGGAGAAGAGAAGGCTCCCGGGAGACCTGAGAGCCCCTTCCAGGGCCTAAAGGGGCTCTAAGAGAGCTGGAGAGGGACTTGGGACAAGGGATGGAGGGACAGGGCAGGGGGGAATGGCTTCCCACTGCAAGAGGGCAGGATTAGATGGGATATTGGGAAGGAATTCCTGGCTGCGAGGGTGGTGAGGCCCTGGCACAGGTTGTCCAGAGAAGCTGTGGCTGCCCCATCCCTGGGAGTGTCCAAGGCCAGTTTGGATGAGGCTTGGAGCAACCTGGTCTACTGGAACGTGTCCCTGCCCATGTCAGGGGGATTGGAATAAGATGGGCTTTAGGATCCCTCCCAACTCAAACCACCCTGTGATCTGTGACTCAAGGCAATGCCCAGATTTGCCTGGTAAAGCTCCCAGGCACTGTGTGATAGAGATGGCAGCTGCATCCCCTAAGGGGAAGGGTCTCAGCCAGTAGGTCCTGGTGTTGCTCCACAGCTTGTCCCGTCTCTCCCCTCGGGCAGTTCCACCACCGTGACCCTGGAATCGTGGGGCTGCTGACCAGTGACAAGATTCCTGCTGGGCGGAGGGTCTTCTACGGGATGATCTCTGATGGCATCCACACCAACCCTGCCGCCCTGCGGATCGCCCACCGAGCCCACCCCAAAGGTGAGCCACACCGGTGTCACCAGCCCCTCCAAGCACTGGGCCACCTCCCACAAGACACTCGTGCTGCCCTCGCTGCCTGGAAGGTCACAGCCACGTGTGCTGATACCCTCGCACTTTGGTGGGATGTGGCTGGAGACACCATGACCCCTCTCTGGGAGGGCCAGCGGGGCACAGTGCTTAGAGCTGCAGCAAAATCAGCTGCAAAGCTGACAGGGCCCCTTTGCTTGTGTTGCTCAGGCCTGGTGCTGGTGACAGATGCGATTGCTGGCATGGGGCTGGCACCGGGGCGGCACACGCTGGGGCAGCAGGTGGTGGAGATTGATGGGCTGAACACCTACATCGCAGGTAAGGGCCTCTTGCTGGAGAGCTGGGGACAGCACTGCCACTGGTGCCCATTCCTGGGGAGCTCAGCACAGCTGGCTGGCCCTGCCAGTGTGAGGCAGTGCTTGTGCCAGCCTCTCAGGTTTTGGTGCCTGGTGGATCTGCAGTGACTTGGCCCTGGGGAGAACGAGGTACCTGGTAAGGAGGGGAAGTGCCCTACCTCTGTGAAGTGGGGAGGAATCTGTCCATTTGTAGCTGTCTGCAACACCATTGAAAGCCTCACTGCCTAGTGTCATGTATGCAGAGGGTCAGAAAGGACAGAGAAATCTGAAGAGATATTTATTGTCCCTTTTCTTTATTACATCACTACCATTTCTTGCTACCTAAATTCCCTAAGTTTCAAGTACCCAAGCAGTTAGAGACTGGTATTTCAGAGAAGGATCCATTCACCTCTGGCAGCAGGAACCTGCGTTGTGAGCTGGTTTCACCCAGTACAGCTGGTCTGGTGGTGGAGCTGGAGGGTGACACCCCAGTACCTCTCCCTGCCCTGCCAGCACCTCTCCCTTGCCTCAGTCTGTCCCTTGGCAGCAGTGGCTGTGGGCCCTTCAGCTTGCCCCTCCTGCCACCCATGATTTCTGCCCTTCTGGTCCCGTTATGCTTCCCTACTGCCCCCCTTCTTGTTGCTGTGAGCTGTGGGAGCTGCTCAGAGCCATCCTATTCCTCTCCCAGGCACAAAGACCCTGAGTGGTAGCGTGGCGACCATGGATACGTGTGTGCGACACTTCCAAGAGGCCACAGGTAAGGGAGCCTTGTCCACAAGCTGTTGCTCCCTATGTTGATGTGGGAGGAGGTCTTGTTCTTGCCAGCTGTGTCCATTCCACCAGGAACATTCCCTCTCACCTGAGACATGAGACGGGCTGGGATCAGTGCCCTCAGATGAGCGCCTTTTTGAGGGGAGGTTTCATTTTAACCCATAGCACTAATGAGAGGTGAACTCTCCTGCTCCTTCCTCACAAAGGTGGAATGATTTTCCCCTCCCCATACCCTTGGTGTTCAGTTCTTCTGTTCCTGCTATCTCCTGTAGGGATATTTCCCTTCCCAGCTTCATCTGGCTGTGGTGAGGGTGTGCCCAGCTGACAGTTGCCTTGGCCAGGGAACTTTGGGTTGCTCTGGCAGTGGGGCTGTGGCTGCCCTAACCATCTCCCCAACTCTCTGTGCAAGGATGCTCCGTAGAGACGGCGTTGGAGGCAGCATCTCTGCATCCTGCCCAGCTCCTGGGGATTGAACACAACAAGGGGACACTGAATTATGACTCCGATGCAGGTACTGGTATGGGGATAGGAGGTATTGGTATGGGGACAGGAGTTATTGGCATGGAGACAGGAGGTACTGTTATGGGGACAGGAGATGTTGGTATGGGGACAATGGTGTCAGGGCTCCTGAGCGCTGGAGCAAAGCAGAGGCTGCTGCACATCTTCATCCCCTGTTTCACTGGGAGCTGCAGGGAGACTCGCTCTTCCTGGGATTTGCTCTGGGCTTTTATTCCAGTGGTTATCCCCTTGTATGCTTGGTTTGGGAAACCCTTTGGAGTGCCCCCCATGCCTCAGCCAAGCATGGAGCAGAGCTGCCATAGCCAGGGTGGCACCACACTGCCCTCCTACTGCTGTGTCTGGGGTGGGGAGAGGCTGTTCCCTACTGAGCTCAGCTCTCCCCAGCCAGCTCTAGCAGCTCCATTCCTCTGACAGCTGCTTCCTTTCCCTCTTGTCCAACACAGATTTCCTGATGCTGAACGACAGCCTGTATGTGCAAGCCACGTACATCGCCGGCCAGGAGGTCTGGAGACAGGATGCGTCAGGCATGTGACACTGGGCTGTCCCAGTGCCCTCCGAGGCTCCCTGGCACTGTGGTTAGCAGCTCTGGTAACCACCCCACTCCTCCCTCTTTTTTTTTTTAATCCCAATTCCTTCCTGCAACTCCCTTAAAGGAGCCTCATACCAAAGAGCTGCGTTTTCCAGCTTCCAGTTACAGCCATGCCTGCCACGAATTTGTTGGTGCTCAGTTGGTGGCATGGGGAAAGCAGGCAGCTCTGTGCTGGCAGGGAATTCCACTCCTGGAGTGGCCTGAGGGACTGCACAGCTGTCCTGCCCCTAGACAGGTGCTCCTGTCACCATCTGACAGCAGTGAGGAGCTGTTCCAGCCTTTGCACTGTTTATACAGCACACACTAACCTGCCCCATGCCCAAGGCAGGCTCAAGCCATTCCCATTCCTCTGCCTGCTCTTTGCCTTGCTCCTGGGCAGCCATGGCTTGTTAGACATCATCTTCCACCAGCTCAGCTCGCAGCTCTTCCCATGACAAGCTTCCTGTTGTGTCAGCAGAAGCTGAGGATCACATTTGGGTCTCCCGACAGCCCTTCTATGGTGTGTCCTCAGAGCAGGGCTGTCACAGCTCACCGACTCGGTGCTGTTGTGGGACTGAATCCTCAGGGCAGAGATCAAAACCAGGAAAACCAAGGCATTGCTGGTCCTTTGTGCCTTTTCCCTGTATGGGCATTGAGTCCACAGCGCTGGAGACATGGACAGTATCCTGCCTCAGAAAGCAATGCTCCTTTCACCCCTGGCTCTGGCTGGATGGGTCCTGCAGGCTCTGTGCCAGCCATATGAAGTAGGGCCTTTGCATCCCCTGATGGGTCTGTGCATTCCTCAGGCCATGGACTGGAAGCTTTTGCTTTAGGGGATGCATCCAAACTGGTGGTCATGGGCTCACGAGCCCCCAGTCCAGCTCAGGAACTGAGGGAGAGGAGGACTGCAGTGGGATTCTGGCCTTTCAAGACAGTTGTGATAGCTCATTATTCAGTGCTCATTACTACCTTCTCCAATACTTGACTGTCAGCTCTTTTCCTGACACTTGGACACTTGCATGTGAGGACTGATGCTGATTTTGAACCTACTATGGGCAGAATAAGCCTTGAGATAAGTCTTAGACAACCTCTGACAAGGCTCAAACCAATGAGATGGTTTTTGTGGTGAGGAGAGGACTTAGACAATAGCTAAGTCTCTGCAAGGATGGAGGTTGTACGGCAGATAGGAGTCTGGTCAGGATTGGCAGAAGTGTGCTGATTTTTCCAGTACCGTTTTATAACCTTTAACAGCAACATTTGGAAGTGCTTTCCCAGCATTTTAGAGCCCTGCTGGAATCACTGGCAGCCTTGGAGAATTTCTAACATCAGCTGCCAATGTCAGCAGAAATTATAATGTCCACAGTTTGAAGCATTTGAGAGAGACATCACACCCTCTGCTGTGACACGCGCAGGCTGCCGCGGCACCGGCCTCAGTGGGGATCTTCTAGCGGCTGTTGAAAACAATCCGAGGGGAAAAAAATGTATATGAAACAAGGTGTCTAACTTTTTATTTACAAAATTAAATAATCAAAAGGAAATCTAAAATAGAGACGGGATTAGACAGCACCTGTGGGTGTGTATTGACCCTTTTTGCCTGCTGACAACAGGCTGTACCCTGCTCATGGAGGTGGGCGGTGGTATGGCCTATGTCCTGCTGGGGTGTGAGGGCCAAGGGCTGGTGTGGGCATTCCTGCCAGGATTTGGCCCAGGGACAGGGGCACTGCCAGACATGTCCTGGGGGGCCAGGACCAGTATCAGGCCCAGTATCGTCGGCCGGGCCAGGGAGGGGATTGTCCCGCTCTGCTCTGCCCTGGGGCGGCCTCCCTTGCAATATTGGGGCAGTTTGGGGGGACATAATGTAGAGAAGATATTGAGCCATTAGAGAATGTCCAAAGGAGGGCAACGAAGATGGGGAAGGGCCCTGAGGGGAAGCCGTGTGAGGAGCAGCTGAGGGCACTTGGTGTGTTCAGCTGGAGGAGACTGAGGGGAGACTTCACTGCAGTTCCAACTTCCTGAGGAGGGGCAGGCCCTGAGCTCTGCTCTGGGGGGACCAGGGGCAGGACCCAGGGAGTCGCCTGGAGTTGTGTCATGGGAGCTTTAGGTTGGATATTAGAAAAGGTTCTTCCTCCAGAGGGTGGTTGGGCACTGACCAGGCTCCCCAGGGCAGTGGGCATAGCCCCAAGGCTGCCAGAGCTCCAGGAGGGTTTGGATGATCCTCTGGGGCACAGGGGGTGAATCCTGAGGATGGTCCCGTGCAGGCTGAGGGTTGGGCTCGATGACCCTTGTGGGTCCCTTCCAGCTCGGCCCGTTCTGTGATTCCGTGGCACCCCCGGGCGGGCAGTGCACACACGGGTGTCCCACAGCTCCCTGCGGGGCTCAGGGGAGCGCGGGCAGTCCCGAAGGGACAAACGCACTGCCAAGGTGAGTGCTGGGCGCCCCCGGGCCGGGCTGTGCCGGGAGCCCTCCGGTTCCTCACGGCCGGAACGGGCCTGCGGAGCGCTGAGGGCTCGCACAGCGAACCGGCCAGGGGCGGCGGGGAGAGCCGGGGGAGGCCCCGGGGAGGCCCCGGGCGGAGCTGGGCCCGGAGCCCACACGCTGCCCGTGACCGGAGGTGGGCGGTGCGGCGGGGCCGCTTCCTCCCCGGCGCGGAGCGGCATGGAGCGGGTAAGGGCCCCAAAAGGTGCTCCTCAAAGCAGCGCCGATGCCCTCCCCAGCCCCTCCTCACCTCCTTGTCCCGAACATTCCTTCCATCCCCCCCCGCGGGCTGCAAAGCCTTCACTTCCACCTGCTTAGCAGGAGGCGGGCGGCGTAAAAATACAGCACAGGGCGCAGAGCTGTGTGAAAGGGAAGTTTCCTGCCGTGGAGACATTGTGCCGTAATAAGCTTCAGGATAAAATGAGAATTTTTTTGGGTGGGCCTTTAAAAAGGAGAAGGAGGAGAGAAAGAGGGAGAAAAAAAATCTGTGGGAAGTCCTGGCTTGCCAGGAGCGGGGGGGGGGGGGGGGTGGGGGGTGTTCCTGCTAGTAGGAGTTTATGGCTGTGATTTTTGTAATGCAGAGGGCTCATTTGGTGCTCTCCGCACAGGACACGTGTCCCTGTGCTGGTTGATGGTATAAATGAGCAGTTGCACAGCGCACCTCCAGTGTAAAGCCAGATCTGATCTATGAGAGGGGAGAGGGCCTCAGAAAGTCAGGTTTGGAATCAGTTTTGGAGACGAGAGATTTGTGCTTCTTTTAGACATTCTTCCTTCCCCATCCCATGTCCAAGGCTCCCCAGGATGTGTTCCAGGAGGAGCTGAAGTGGTGCATTTCGCAGCTGGAGGCAGATCTCCACCTCACCCCACCCCCAAAACCAGGTATGTTCCTCTTTCCCAGCCCACAAATCCCATATTCCAGCCTCAGGTCTGATTTAGCAGATTTGGACATTTCTCTGTTTCTTCTCTCCCTTCTGTTCCCTGTTCTTTTGTCATTTGGGATTTGCTTTAAATACAAAACAACTTAAAGCATTGAATTTTAAGGGCTGTCTATCTGGAAGCAGCTTTACCTTTCATTCCTGTAGTGTTCATTCTCCCTGTGTTCTGTATCCTTTCTCATGTTCTCATTTTCCCATCTAATGGCTTGTTTGGTTCTGCTACATCTCTGCCTTTGTTTTCCATCTTAACTGTGCCAGTGTGTCTGGCCCTTAAACACCAGTAGGTGTTTTTATTTTTGTGAAGCTTGTTCCGAGGAGAAATTACATGGAAGATAAAATCCTATAAAATATTTTTCATAAGGTCACAGATTGATCTTATCAGTACAACTTGTAGAGAAATGCAGACTCACGTCCTGCTCCTGGCCACTACTTAACCTGTAGAGGAGGGGTGTGAACCATCTGTAAAGTGCCCAGGTGAGTGTTTGCTGGTTCACCTGAGGATGTAGCAGTAACTAATATGTGCCCACACATGGTGCTTGAGTATCAGGCTCCAAGAATTAAGGCTGGGAGAGCTGGGAGTGTTCAGCCTGGAGAAAAGAAGGTTCCAGGGAGACCCAAGAGCTCCTTCCAGGGCCTAAAGGGGCTCCAGGAGAGCTGGAGAGGGACTTGGGACAAGGGCCTGGAGGGACAGGACAAGGGGGAATGGCTTCCCACTGCCAGAGGGCAGGGTTAGATGGGATATTGGGAAGGAATTGTTGGCTGTGAGGGTGGTGAGGCCCCAGCACAGGTTGCCCAGAGAAGCTGTGGCTGCCCCATCCCTGGGAGTGTCCAAGGCCAGGTTGGACGGGGCTTGGAGGTGTCCCTACCCATGTCAGAGGATGGATGAGCTTTACTGTCCCAACCAACCCAAACTATTCTATGATCAGACCGTTTTGTTACATCTATGTCCTGTGCTGATCCCCAGTGCTCAGCAGCAGGGAAGGCAGCTCCTGGAGGGGAGGCAGGAGCTGAGTCCAGGGATGAGGCAGCAGAAGCAGTGGCCTGGCCAGAAAGGAGCCCCTTTGCACAGAGCCTGAGCCAGGAGAGCAGGGCAGTCCTGCTGATGGTACCCAGGCTCTGCCTGGAGTCCCAGTCACTGAAGGAGTGTGCAGTGAGGAGGCAGATCCAAGCTCTAGCCAGGAATTCAGCATCTGGATCCATGAGTTATCTGGCTGCAGCAGTGTCTGCATGAGATCCTGGACTACAACCAGACCAACCCCTTGAAATAGGGATACACGTGTGCTCAGGACCCTGATACCCAGGTGCTGTGAAGAGACATCCCACTTCTGTCCCACCGTGTCCTAGGGGACATCGGGCCCAGCATTGCCAGCCGAGCGAGGGAGGGGATTGTCCCAGCTGGGTGAGGGATGGGATTGTCCCCCTCTGCTCTGCACTGGGGCAGCCTCACCTGCAATATTGGGGCAGTTTTGGGTGCTGCAGTATAAAAAAGATCTGAAGCTGTTAGAGAGTGTCCAAAGGAGGGACACAAGGATGGTGAAGGGTCGGGAGGGGATGCCACAGGAGGAGCTGCTGAGGGCCCTTGGTCTGTTCAGCTGGAAAAGAGGAGACTGAGGGGAGACCTAATCAGGGTCTGCAGCTTCCTCAGGAGGGACAGCTCTGATCTCTGCTCTTTGTGACCAGGGACAGGACCCGAGGGGACAGCTGAAGCTGTGTCGGGGGAGGGTTAGGCTGGATATTAGGAAAAGGTTCTTCCCCCAGCGGTGGTCGGGCATTGCAGCCAGGAGAGGTGGGACGTGCCCATTCCACAGTACTAGTGCAGTACATCAGGCTGTCGTGTGGCTGGAAATGAGTGAGACAAACACTACAAGACTATACGTAGGGTACCCGAACTGAGGTCTTGAGGTCTACTGTCACAGAACAGCTGTGCTTTTTAGAGAATTTGCTCTGACACAAAAAATTTGGATCCCTCTTGTGGTCAGACTGGTTTGTATGAGAGCCAGGCAAGAGTCCTACTTTTCAGGGTGTGCTCTCTACTAAGATTTTTTCCAGTTTTTCAGAAAAGACACACAGAGCTGGGCCCTGGGATTTGTATTTGCCTTGAGGAGAGGGTTGCTGAGCCCTATGTAACTTCTATGCCATTAGCAGTGCACTTACTGCAGTGTAAGAGTCTGACTGTATGTAATAAGTAGTTAGATTCTCCCCCGCTAAGAACATTTCACAGTATTTCATCTTCTAGAAGCGCTTGGAGTTCCCTTTCAACCAAATGCCAGTTGTGGATTAGTCAGAGGTGATATGAACACAGAGCACGTTTCAGAGAAGACTCAGTCATCAGCATCCCACAGTGGGGATTTTGAGGCCCACCATAACCTGTTTCTTGTCTCTCTTGGATTTTTTCTGAGTGCAGTAGAGGAGACCCAGCACATTCTCAAGGTCCTGCGCTCCCCTGAGACTCCTCTTGCAAAGAAGCAACAAGTGATGAGTGATGTGTTTGGGGATTATTGTCTCAGCATGGAGAAAGCAGGTGAGCTTGAGCTGTCATTCAGGGGATGGTGAGACTTGATTCTTCTCTGTAGATTTCTTAGGTTGTTCTTTTGATTGAGTCAACTCTCTGGGCAGTGCCTTAGAGAGGGAGCTGCAGTGGCATCCCTGTGGTAGGAAACTGGTGTATTGATAGAAACAATACTCTTTGTCTTTTCTAGGCATGAAACCTGGTGCTCTGGAAGTACAGCCAAGCAGTGGGCAGGCTGCAGATGGTAGGAAACAGTCTGACCCAAGCCCTGAGGCAAAGCCAGAGCTGTTCACATCATCTGGCAGCAGCTTCCGATTTGATTTTACACTTTCCGAGACCAACCCAGGAGCAGACCCTGGTGACAGCAGAGCTGTCACAGCCACCAAGCAGGAGAGCTGGAATGGAGCCTTGAGGTTTGCTGTCTCTGGACAAGAACCCAAGTTTGCTTTCAACTTTGCCATCCCAGATGAAGACTGTCCTCAGCTCCAGCTACTTCCCTCAAGCCAACATACAGATCCTTCACTGCCTGCTGAAGCAACAGCCCTGCCACGGGCTGAAGCAACAGCCCTGCCACGGGCTGCAGCCGTGCGGGAGCCCGAGGTGACTCAAGCTGCAGGGAGTGCACCCAAAGAGGACAGAAGCCATGTCACATCAAAGATCCCCCAACCAGAGACTGCTCCTGCAGATGAAGCAGCAACAGCAAAATCAACAGGAGATGAAGCTGCCCAGAAGAAGAAAAAGAAGAAGAAACAAAAACCACCAGTCAGTAAAACGGAGAGAGAAGAAACTGAGACCAGCAGGAAAGCAAAGACAGAAGCTAAGAGCTGTCAAAATACAAATACTTCCCATCAGGATGAGAAGACCTCCCAGGTAGTTAAATATTGATGAGATCCCATAATTTATAAACCCTTAACCTAAAGAGGCACTTTATCACTTTACACAGATGAACAATTAGCATACTGCCTTGAGATGAGAGCTGAAAGACCGGGGTTGCTGCTTGCTTCTTCCAGCAGCTGTTTGCTTTCTCTGCTACGCAGCTGAGGAGCCTGACTAGTGGAAAGGGAGTTAATGGTCCTTCAGACTTGTGCTGAAACATTTCATGTTTAGGCTTATGACAGCTAATCCTGGGGAGCTGGATGCCATGTTTTCTTAAGGAAATGAAAATAAGAAATGGAGGTAACTGCCCTCAATCAGTGCCTGTGGGTGCCGAACCAGGCCCTGCTCCTGTTGCCAGGCAGGATGAATTGCTCACATACTGCAAGTAGCAAAACCAAGGCACAGAGCTGCCACCTGGTATAGCCAGGGGTCTGGGGTGAAGCTCAAGGTGCTTCTCAGAAGGTTCCCGCTGTAGGGCATGGCCCAGAAATCCACTGAGGTTGCAAGTTATGTGTCAACACACCATTAAGGCACACCCTGACATTTTCTGTTCTGCTGAGGGTCTGGGTCTTCATTTTATTTTACTTCTCAGCACCAGTGTAGGTATTATTAAGAAACAGTACCAGCTGAGCAATACTGAAATAGAAGATTGCACAAAATCTTCCTTTTCTTAATATTCTTCAAGGAAATTGCACTGAGTGTTCACCCGCCTCTGGAACATTCCATCCTACCAATAAACACTGCTGAGTACAGGAGAGGCAGGAAGATTGGAAGGTGAGGTAAAGCCCTTCCAGTCCTTTGGAAGGAGACTGTTGTAGGGGAGGGCTTTTGTGTTTACATGTACATAACAATTACAAATTACTTCGGTCCCAGGGTGCAGCCCTGTTTTCCTGTCCCACTGCTGAGTTAACCAGCTGGCTTTGCTCAATGGGACTTGGTTTCCTCCATCTCTGTGGGCTTCAGCTTCCTTCTCCTCATGTATTTCTGGTTTAGCAAGCATGCAGGAGCTGAGAAAAAAAGACTTATTTGTCCATTGTTCACTTTTTTTGATTTTATGCAGGTCTGGTGATAGGTTTTTTTTGTTGTTAATGCTTATTTCTCCCATCTGTAAGTGTATTTGACAGCTTCTTTCAGAGGAAAGGCACTGAACAGCTTTCCAGAAAACAGCACCCTCTGAATGGCAGCCACATATTAAACCCATCAAATAGAGGCAGTGAGTTGCAACTAAACATTTGTGCAGTGCTTTTAGTTTATCCAATGAAAAACACTAGAGGGAAAATGTCATGGAGTCTGTAAACTGATCACCAGCATGTGATGTTGAGAATAGTCCTGACTTTACGCAGTTCCCTTTTATCTCGTGTAGCAACTGCTGCTTTAATTTTTGGGTGACTTATTTCCTCTTGCTCCCTGTGCCCCACGTTGATGGCAGTCAGATGAGCAGCTGCAGAAGGAGCTGGACTGGTGTGTGCAACAGCTGGAACTTGGCTTGAAGACACAGAAACCCACTCCAAAGCAGGGTAGGCATTCAAATAAAGGCGAGCTCTCTCTTGTGGGAAGGGATGGCAGGAATGCAGGGGCAGAGCCAGCAGGAAACCTTAAGCTGTGTGCTGTTCCTCCTTTGCTGCAGCTGAAGAGGCTCTCCGGGCCATCAGGACACTGCGCAGTGACAAGGCTCCACTGGTAAAGAAGCGGCAGCTCATGAGAGCCATGTTTGGAGACTACAGGAAGAAGGTGCAGGAGGAGCTGTGCAGGGAGCTGAAGCTCATGGAAACAGGTAGGAGAACTTCTCATAGTGAGGAGAAGAAGAAGAAGAAGAAAGGGACTCACTCCTGCCTTGCAGATTGTTTTGCAGAATGGAGCCTCGCTATGTGAGATCACTAAACATCTCTAACGGCTCTTTTCTCCCCTCTTTAAGCTGCAAAGGCTGCCAGGATCGTGGAGGTGAAGGGAAGCATCCGCAAGAAGAATGGCAAATTCATCCGGAAATGCTCGGCAGCTTGCAGGAAAAGCCAGGGTTCAGCAGGATTCCCTTCAGAGTCACCCAGGACGCTTTACACAGGCTTATTCAATGACACAGCTTCCAAAGAAGAATTTCGCTTTAATTTCTTCTAGAAAAGTGTCTTAGACTAAAACTGTGGTAAAAAAATCCCTGTGCCAGATCCCCTGTAAACTGCAGAACGGTGGAGAGATGCTGTGCAGTAGGAAATGTCATCAGTAAGTCTCTTGATCCTGTTCCAGAGTGCCTTATCTAGAAATCTAAACCAAATCTGCCTAGTACCGTATGACCCCAAGACTCAGCCAGCGTAGTGCTCCTCTGTACTCACACTGTAGAGAGGCACCTTTGAAAGGGTCAGCAGTGAAAGGATCTGGTTTTCTTCCTGTAGAATTTACATTAACTGTGAAATCTCTCTTTTATACCATGAGATTTTCCCATTCTCCTGTGGTTTTTAAATAGAGCAGAGCTTTCCTAGCAGCTGAGGCAACCATGCACACAGAGGGGAATGGTTTGGAAAGAAGATGCAGCTTCTGTGAAGATCCAGCAGTGGATATTTGGATGCTTCCACTCCATGAGTCTGTGTGAATGCGGCTTCTGGCATCCAGCAAACACCAGCAATGCCATCACTGACATCGAGGGAGTGGAGCTCAGGGTCTGGGGAGAGAGTGAGTGAGAACCATTTTTGCTGATTCATCTCTTTCAATGGCAGAAACAGACTTAGAATAAAACTGCAAATGCTGGTTTAATCCAGCCTAGGGATGTAAGGACAGTTGTTTCCAGACAGGGAAAGGTTTTTGTTGCTGGAGCCAGGTTCTGGCCAGCTAGGAAGGGCGTACAATGAGCTCTTAAATAAAGTTTACTTTGTAAGTAGTCCAGTTACAGCCACCAGTGACTCAGAGGTAAAATCAGCTGCGTGCCAACCTTGGGTGGTGGTGAAATGAACTGTCAGAGCCCAAAGACTCTCTTCCACTTGATTTGTATTAAATTTTGGCTTTTTGAATGTGTGTCTCCAGTGTTTCCATACTACTTTAGTCACTGAAGCCATCTCCTGTGTTCCTACAGAAGATCTTCCCACCAAGCCTAAAAAAGCTGAAGGAAGAGAAGTGCTGCAAAAGGCTATGTGGTATCAGGTGTCCCTGGGGAGCAGTGCTTTCCTCCCTTTTATGGTCCAGTCAGCCTGTGTGAGAAGTGAGAAATGGGAGTGTGGGCAGATTCCAGGGAGAGCAGCTGAGAGATGGTGGAAAATACTGGCTGGCAAAGACTTATTTTAAAAGAATATTTTAAAGAATTCCTGTCTGGGAAACTGAACCTGGATAACATGTACGACAGGGAAAAATATGCAGAGCTGACTTTATGTCTTCTTGAAGTCAGTGGGTAAAAACTGGAAATCAAGGTTGGCATATTATTTTATTTGCCAAGGAGCACAACTTTGACTGTGTGGAACAACCTTAGACAGTTTTTTTTTAGTTTTGATTTCCAGGATTTTATATTAAACATACAAAAGCTGTGTCCTTGTCAAACTTTTAGTGTTTTCATGCCATTTACTGAGATTAAAGAGCATCTTGTACATGACCTTGGAACTACAGCTGTTTGCTTTCCTGGCTGGTTGTGCAGCAGGTGTCTGGGAAACGGTTATTTTTTCCCTTCTCCTGTCTCAGGTAAAGCTAAAGCTGCTAAAATGTTACAAAATCTTTGCTGTGGAAGGCTGCAGGAGTATTCTGGGAAGCATTCTTATATAACTGCCTCGTGCTTATGCTGTTCCTTAGGCGTTCACAATTAGAATAAAGATACCAGTGAGGTGTGCATTTGGTGTAACCTGATCCAGCAGTTTATCTTCAGATAAAAAGAGGTCAGAGAAAAATGCATTCTGATATGAGAACAGCTCCTGTGGTTTTCCAGAGGTCTGGATAATGCTGACCTACAAAGCCAGCCTATGTTCCTTCTCCTGTGCTCTGTTATTGGAGGACTTACATATGTGTATATGGGAAGGCAAACGTTCATCAGTGTGATCCCTCACATCCCTGAGTGTCATTCCAGGTCAGTTCCACAAGTCAGCATGGGGATCTTGGACAAAGCATTTTGCCTCTCTCTGTCCACTCCCTGTTTTCATAGCCAAGGTGATGCCTCCTGAGTTTTTGACAGATGTGCCCAAGTTACTTCACTAGTGATTTTGTGTTGAAGAGGCAACACTATGGCATTTTGCATCTGAAACTACAGCAGTCTCTGTACTTCATTTTTAAGCTTTGCAATGCTTGAAGCATCTCTGCTGTGTTACATTTGTTTGAAAGGAAACAAGCAATGTTAATAGGAGTTAGGAAGTGCTGTGGGCTGCTCCATCCATCCTTTCCCCTTTAGAGGGGCCACAGTGCAGTCTTAATGACTTTTTTTTTTAAAGTGGTGTTTTCCCCTTTTAGTATTTCTTTAGGATTTCAGCAATGTCTCTTATTGCAGCAGTGTCGGGTTTGGGTCAGGGCTTTGCTCCGCTAGTCAGTGTAATACCTCTAGCTGGAGGTTTGGTCCATGCCCCAAGGCATTAATGATGTACAGCAGTGAGAGAGAAGGGAGATATTCTCATCTGTCTGGACATCTCTGTTCCACTGTTCTTGCTTTAAGGAAATATAGCTCAGTTTTGGTAGAAAATCGAGCTCAGTTGTCTGTCTCTGCATCCTCTCCTCAGCTTTGTGCCTGGCATTTCAGTTTGGTGCCAACAGGGTGACTGGATTTGGTATTCTGTATCTCTTGGGTGACTGCCCACCTAAATGTAGGGCAGCAGTGCCAGGCCCAGGCTTGTAGGCTGCAAACTGCTTACGGGAGCTTCCAGCACGGCTGTGACCTCAGGAGCGAGTTAAAGACAAGGCAAAAGGGAATGTGAAGTACCACAGTGCCTCTAGAGCCAAACTTGCTTCATAGCATCGATCTTGAAAAACTAAAAGCTGAGGAGCAGCTTCTAAAATGAGTAACGGGGTAAAGGAACACTGTGACCTGTCTCAGACCATTCACTGCAGTAAAGCGGGAGAAATGTCTCGCTTTGGGGAGCAAAGTGAAGAATTTTAGGGTTATTTATGTGGCAGGGTGAGGCCAAGAATGTTTCCACACGGAGGCAGCAGAAACCTGGATGTGATCTCTGGTCCTTTTGGGCTTGGCACCCTCCTCTGTAAATAGACCCTCTGAGCAAAGGTTAGGAAAAGCAATCCCATTCCAGACAGACCCTGCTTCCAATTGGAATGGCCAGCCTCCCCGCTCCCATCCCTACTGGCATTTTGGCTGTTATCCTGGATGCTGGACACTAATCAGCACATTTGTCCCACCCCTTCTCCTAGGCTGGGTCAGTGGAAATGCATTTATTGGCCCTTGAGCCGCCCCTCTTTGAGTAATCTGGGGGGCAGAGTTACCAAGGAGCAGCCCACAAAGGATCTCCAAGGGATCCCCACAAAGTCCAGCTGGAATCATCTTCAGAGTCTCAGCAGCCGCTTCTGGGGGGACTCCCTCTCCCAAGACCAGCAAAGACAGAAAGCCAACAAGTTGGTCCTACTGATCCTGTAACTGAGGTGACTAGTATTACCTTGTCTCACTTAAATTTTTAAGAGTGCTGAGGGTGGACTCAGCAACTAATCACCCCTAAAGGATAAAATATTATCTTCATCTGGGGAGGGAAACCCCAATCCTAATTTATCTTTTCTTTGAATTAGAAAGAAGAAAAACTTAGCACTTCGAGCAAGACAACAACTGGAACACTGTAACGGAAGGTTGAAGAGGGAGGAGCATTGAACCTGCAGCTCCATAGCAGGAAAAAGAGGAGATACTGCTACTTTAAGGTCATATGAAGCTGTGACAGATGATCTTGTATCTTTCTGCTGCCTAAGATTTCTTTGTTGCTCACTGTTTGTGCTGCTTTCGTGTTTAGAACCGCGGAAGGTCTAAACACGATGCTGCTTCGGAAAATCCAGCTTTGACATCCCTTCCCATAGTGGTTTGATTACTGGCACCAGTCCTCCTGTGGGCACTGTCAGCTGGGGAGTGCTGACCACTGGCTGGGTTTGGTCCATTTTTGGCTTCTTCCCTGTGAGTGCATCAACAGGCACGACCAGCTCCTGATACCTTCCCACTAAGATGGAAGAAGTTTGGGTTGTGTATCTCTGCCTGATCTTGATGATCATCGTGCTTGTTCTAATGAAGCAAAACCCGCATGTGGAAGAGGCCAGGAAGGACAGGGAAAGCAAACCCTCCTCACCATCCTCTTCCTTTTCCCCCAGTAATGTCAGCAAACAACTGGAGCACACCCAGGAAGAGCTGGATAAGTATCTGGAGAGGCTAAACAATGTCTTGTTTGACACAGAAGCCAGGAGAAGGGATGGCCACCATGATCAGAAGTCCCACCATCACAGAAGTGCTGACTTTGTGTCGGAAACTAAGGAGCACTCTCAGCACCTGTCAGGCTCCACAGAAGTCCAGGTATGAGCCTTAGAAAGACTGTCAGACTCAGCTAGACTTCGAGCTCCTGGCTGAGGCAGTGAACCCTGAGGAACTGCATAGTCCATGAAGTTGGACAGGGAAGAGGTTGGGGGAAGTCTTGCTATTTTGGAGATAATATGTTCCTATTTTTTCACTGTTTATTTCGACATTAAGCACTCATCCAGAGACAGCTCTGTGTGACAAGTGTGGTATGTATGTCACACGTGAAGGATGTAAACATTGGCATTAGCACCCATGCATGTGTGTATATCCATGATGTAATTTACTCCTTCCCATAGAAATAGAAACAGGCATCATTTCTTACTTCAAGAAATTACTGTGCAGCTCTTCAGCTGTTTTAAGTCTCCCTCTTTCCCCACATACAGCCACATTTTGCCAGTTTGCTCAGCTAAGGGTCTGGCCCAGGAGGGTACAGGAGCTCTGCAGACACCTGTCTAGAGGTCATTGCATGGTATTGAGCCATGGGAAATACTTCTGGAATATCTCTTCTGTGCATGATGATCATCATGCACAGAATGTAAACATAAAAGGCACTATTGCAACCTGCAAAAATTCCTTTGCCTTGGCCAAGGTCCTTTTTTAGGGGCTGAAATGATGCAAGGCTTTATATTTTTATCATGAACCTCATTGCAATACATCAGATTTTGCCCTTGAGATGACAGTTTTCATGGCAGCTCTGCAAGGCTGTGTCACTTTATGCCAGCAGCTGTTAGTATTCTTCATTCCTGAGACATGGATCTCACAGTGCCAATCCCCACCCCCAGAGCATGTCCTGGGTCCAGGTGAGAGCTCCAGCACGAAGCCTTCGGTGCAGAGGAGACCCTGATGTCAATAGTGGTGCCCTGCCCAGGAATCAAGAGAGATTTCTTGGTGAGGAAGGCACTGCTGTGAACAACCTTTGCAGTGAGCCAGGACATTATAATTTCGAAAGTCCTCTGGAGCTGCCTGAGCTATCTGGGGGAATCAGTACAGTCTGTTCAAGGCAGAGGGGCAGATACACAGAGTGTTGTTCAGAGCACATGGGCAGGAAGAGTAATTCAAGTTTACTTAGTAATTCAGATTTATTTAGTGGCCAATTTCATTTACTGAAGAAGGTGCTATTTTATTAGATCTGCTACAGATCAAAGAATAGTAATGATTTTTCATTATGGAAATGAATCATGTTGCAAAATAACAGTGTTAGCTTATTTTTCTGTTGTGGTTAAAGATGATTGTGTTGACAAAATACAGACTGGGGAGAAAAGGTGCTGTGATCACTATTTTCACACAGTTCAATCTAATGCTAGGCACCTTCAGGGAATGTTCACTTGATTAGAAAAAGGGGGTACACTGTTTTCACACACAGAATCACAGAATGGTTCAGGTTGGAAGGCACCAAAGTGGATCATCTAGTCCCACCTCCCTGTTCCAGCAGGGTCATCCCAGGGCACATGGCACAGGATTGCATCCAGAGGGTTCTGGAATATCCACAGTGTGGGAAACTCCACACCCTCTCTGGGCAATCTCTTCCAGTGCAGAGGAAAGTTCTTCCTCATGTTCAGATGAAACTTTCTGTGTTCCAGTTTCTGCCCATTCCTCTTGTCCCGTTGCTGGCCCCCCCCAGCAGAGCCTGGTCCATCCTCTGCCCTCTCCCTGCAGACAGTGACAGACAGGGATGAGGTCCCCTCTCAGTGTCTCCTCTGGAGGCTGAACAGCCCCAGCTCCCTCAGCCTAGAACTGGACACAGCACTCCAGGTGAGGCCTCACCAGGGCTGAGCAGAGGGGCAGGATCCCCTCCCTGACCTGCTGGAAATGCCCTTCCTCACACACCCCAGGATCCCCCACCCTGGTCCCAGGGCTGGTCAGGGACAGCTGGTGTCCACTGGAACCCCCAGGCCTTCTCCACTGAGCTGCTGCCCCAGCAGGGCAGCCCCCAGCCCGGGCTGGGGCATGGGGTTATTCCTCCCCAGGTGCAGGACCCTGCATTTGCCTTTATGTTCAGAGACTTGATGCAGCAGATGATCCTCATGTGAAAGCTGAAAACTTTAATATGAGCTCCTTTGCTACCTAGAATGAACAGTAACCATGCAGAAGTAAAGCAGCAGAACTAATCTTTTGTTGTCCTTCATTTTGTGTTTTGGGAGCAGTGAGAAAGAAGTCGCCCCATAAACAAACCTGAAAAATCAGGTTAGGACACTGAAACGGGGAACTTGAGCTTTGCTCGGAATAGTGTTAGTGCCAAAACTGCTGGGGGGGGGGGGGGGGGCAGGTGTTTATTGCCCAGGCAAAGACCAGGAGTTGGGACAGTTTCAGGAGCTATGTTTGGGTGGTTCCCTGGGTGCATGGCGTGA